AGTGGCCGGTGAGTGTATAGGGTCTTATAAGGTATGCAAATCTAGAAATGAACTTAAATCTAATATAAATGTCTCTTGAAGTTACTTATGTTTAATCTTATTATAGTTCCAAGATAAAGTGAGCACCATGGGTTAAGTTTATCTGACTAGAGCTCCTTGTACCTATAGTTGGACCAATGTTTGAAAAGACTAAGTGCAAATAGTATTTCTACATAAAACAGGAGATTACAATCTAGTAACCAGGATAACTGCTAGTGGGCCAAATCAAATGGCTTGGCGGGCCAAATTTGGCCCACGGGCCCCACTTTGGGCACCTCTGTCATAGAGGGTCATGTGCTCCATCACCTGACTATCGTTGAAGCCCTGATTCACACCTTTTGCTCACGGGGGCGGAGTCATACTTGCAATAACAGCATTGTAGGAGGAGGACAACTGGACATGGAAGCCTCCACCTCTGTTTAATGGTTTTTCTTCACAAAGATGGCTTCCTTTACTCCTCTCTCAAACCAACGTTCCTCTCTATCAAGAATGAGAACATCTTCATCCCTGAAAGAGTGACCGCTGGCCTGTAGATGATCAGGGTGTAGACCACCATCAGCAAGGCCAAGAACATCATCATCCTCCCAGCAGACAAAGGAAGGTGCACAGTGATGTTGAACCAAAAAGACTACCATGAGAAGGTTATGACACTCCTCAGTGACACGACCACATACGAGCCACTGAAAAGAGATCCAGGAAGTGCATACAAGAAGAAGTTGATAGAGTGCCTGAAAAAGTTAGAGCAGGACAAGGCTATTAACCGCACTCTGTACGACACACTGTACCCAGGTGAGGCCACTCCTAGTCTGTATGGTTTACCCAAAATTCACAAACAGGATGTACCGGTAAGACCCATTGTTATCATGATTAACTCTGTCACTTACAATGTTTCCAAATATCTAGCGTCAGTACTTGGTCCATTAGTCGGCATGTCAGATCATCACATACAGAACACCATGGACTTTGTGGACAAGGTGAGGGATGTCATCATGGAGAAGATGAAACTATGGTCTCTTTTGATGTTACATTGCTCTTTACGTGCGTTCCTGTTGATAAGGCGGTGGAGGTGGTCTGTGTAACCAATCAGAGAGCAGGACATTGATTTTCTGTGCAGTGTCTGCCTGTAGTTTATTTTACCTAGACCAATCAGCAAACAGAAGGAGGAGTTTTGAATGACGTCGATGTTCTGCTCAGTGTCTGCTAGTTATTTTAKCATACAGCAGTGGAGGRAGKGAATGAAGCCAGTCTGTGTTGATAAGGCTTCAAATTAAAATAAATTT